TGAAGGCCCACCCGTCGGAGTCGTCGGCCAATTCTCCCTGCCGGGGCGACGACCACCACGTCTGGTGTCCATCTTGTCCTGACCTGAGGCGCTCGCTGGGTACTCCAGAACTTTCCCCGTTCGGTCAGGCAGGGGTGTCAGAGGTGGACCAGCCCCTAGGGGTTCATTGCCCATCGCTGGCTGCGTAGGATGGCGGAAATCCCCTCCTATGCCATTGGTGTTTTGCGATTCCTCGTCCTTAGTTTCTTCAACTGGTAACGCGGCAAAAAAGTTGGTATATTGTTCGAACGGAGTACCTACATACGTAATATGAGTCCGACTAGAAGTACATGAGCGCGCACCCTTAGAAACTAAGTCCTTAGCCGACGCCGTCGAATCGCTTATTTCGACGCCAGCTCGTCTTTTGACGACTTCTCTTCTTTCACTTCCTCGACCTTCGTGTCCTGTCCCAGCTCTTCCTTTTCGGCTTCAGTGAGGAGTTGACGGAGTCGAGCGACGTTGGGCTTCTTCTTGCGAGGGGGGAGTTTGACGGGAAGCCACTTGGACTTGTCCGTCGGGCATTTATGGTCGTGGCTCCATCCGGTGTTCCCACACTTGAAGCACCGCTTGTCGGACCACAGCTTGTCAATCTCCATCGGCTGCCCGGCTCCTCCATACGTGGTTCCTGTGGCGTCCTTCTTATCGCTACTAGAACCCTGTCCCTTCTGCTGATTTTGGTTGCCTCGACCCGAGCCGCCTTGGCTCGGGGAGGTCTTACTGGCGAGGCCCTGTGCCACGTCATACCGGTAATTGGCGTCGATCCTCAGGACCTGTGCCTTCCACTGTGCGTAGGTTGTGGGGCGCTCGTTGTCCCCATGCATAACCGTCTTTCGCACCGTTGGCCTAATCGCCGCTTCTATTGCTTCAAACATCTGCTTCTCATCACCAAATTCTCCGCACTTGTGGGCTAGTCGTTCGAACTTGGCAAAAAACTCGATGGCCGTCTTGAATTCCGACTGCCGGACCTTCTTCCACTCTGCCTTCCAGATGGCAAGTTCTGCCACTTCTCGGAACTCCACGGTGAGGTCGTTGGAGAACTCGTCCCAAGTGGGAAATCTCCAATGCCCCCGCTCGTCCCGATATCGATAGTATTGGTCACCCCACCAATCCTTGGCCTTATCCCGTAGGTACCCCTGCGCGAAGGTGATCCGGTAGGGGTTCTGGCCCTGGTCGTTCATAGTGAAGTGCAAAGGAAATACTTGGAAGTACATTTCGCAGTGGTGAAGGAATCGGTTAATATCCGTGGCCTCCCCCGTAAAGTATTCAGGCTGCGTAATCAACTTGGGCTTCACGTCGTTCCACGGGTTATTGTCCTTCCCCGTGGCCAGCGTCCACAGGGGTATTGGATCCGGGGGCGAGGGCGCTCGGGGTGGCACCGGGGGGTTAGGCGGTCGTGGGAGTGACCTCAAGCAATAGTTATCCCCAGGCGGGGGGTAATCGCCCGGATAGGTAGGTCGACGTGGGGGTGGATGTGATGGCGGTGGTGGTACCGTGGATTGCTTCCCCTTGTCCGAGGGTCCAGCACCCGGGTTGTCCATCTCGTCGTCGTCCCCTTCTGCCCCGGCAAAGAAGTTGTCGGGGAAGAACCCCGTGATATCGGTCGGAGCAGGCATTGGTTGCGACCGTCGATAGGCCACGCATTCTTGCTTTGGATCGTCGGGGTTGGCCAGGTTCCACACCAGCGCCGCCCGATGCCACGTTTCTACCTCCAAGATGTTCTTCATGAGGTAAACATCCCCCGCCGCCTTTGTGTATCGATAGTCTTCTCCCGCCTCCGTCAGGAGCCACTGGGAGTCTTTCTCCATATCCTCCATCATTATCTCGTACAGTCCGTGCCATGGTAGTATGTTAAAAATCGTCGGCCGGGGGTGAAGAGGGTGGATCAGGAGGTTGCGAACCGCCATCATCACCTCCGTCTCTAGAGCGCTGTTGGGCGGACGACTCGGCATTCTTTGCCTCCTCCCTCTCTCGGGCGATGCGGTCGAGCTCCTTGTTCCGCCTCCATCTCCCGATGTCCGAGTCCTCGTCGCTGATCTCAGCCTGATAGGCGTTCCAGGCCCTTCTTCTGGCCTCGAGATCAGTACCGGCTCTTCGGGCGGCGCCTGAGTATCGAACGGCGGCAGCGCGGATTCGGTTTTCCACTTCGGCGTCGGTGGCGTCGGGCTCGAGGGGTAAGTCCCACCAGCCATCGGGTCCCTGGAGGGCGTCCTCTTCGGCATGTCGGATGCGTGCATCATGCGCTCGGCCTCGCTCCATTTGGGCCTCGACTTCTGGGGCGAGCCGGGCATTTTGAGTGAGTCCGAGGGACTCAACGTACGTGTGATAGAGGAGGGGCCAAGGACGCTGGGAGGCCGGGACGGGTTCGGCGAAGGCCCTCGACGGGACCGACGGCTCCCAGTTGGAGACTCCGGCGAGCCGCTCGGAAACGGTAATTGTTCCAAGTTCCTCAGTGTCATAGTCTGGGAACTCGCTCCAAAGCTCCCCACTCGTCGGCTCGTGCGAGGGGATGGCAGGAGTGACCAGAGGGGTCTCGGACCTTTCAGGGATCAGGTCGGGCTTTCCTCCGTGCCGGGTTCTGGCCACAGTAGCCTCTTCCCTCCTGTCGGCGTATACCCAACTGGTTCGGGGGTGCCAGGCCACTGGCTCTCCCCTATCGGTCGGCCAGGACCTTGGAAGAGACTGTGACTCAGCTGTACTGGTGGTAGCTGCGGAGGCTCCGAGGCCAAGCTCTCCGGAATCACTGTCGTAGTCGTCCTCCTGGGCGACTCTGTATCTCCTGCTCTCGCTTCCCCAGTCCGCGTCTGTCCACCTGGTTCCTGACCGGCCACCATAGTTGTCTCCGGTATAGGTAGCATTCTCCTCCTCATTCGGGTAGAGGTTGTCGAGTCGGGTCCTTTCCCACTCTGTGAGCTCACCCCCTTCGTACTCAGTGTCAGAGCCTTCTTCGCTCTCGACCAGAGGCCTGGTGCCTTGTCTTCCGGCTCCATCGGTACTTGACTCGCCTTGGACTGGAGACTGGTCGAAGAGACCTGGTACGGGCGAGTCTCCTCTGTCGAGGAGTACACCCCGGGTATCGGTGATGTCGATTGAGTCAACTGACTCGTTGGTAACGCTTCTGTAGGAGTCGGTGCTCGACTCTGAGGATCGCGAGCTGGGTCGCAACGATGTGTAAAGGGATCCTCCAGGTTCCCTGGAGTCTGCGGATCCGACATCTTGTATTGTCTGTTGAGATGCCGCGGGAATGTGAATTACCGGCGGGGGGTACGCCGGGGTGCTGGGAACGTAGTGGAACAGGAGTTGTGCGCGGACTCGCCTCTGTCGTTGAAAACAGCGGTGTAGTCGGTACAAAATAATGGACAAGAAAAAGAGTATGAAAGTCGCGAAGACGGTGGGAATGGCATCGGACCAGGGCATCCGTGAGTGGATCTATCCTTGGTGTAAGTTGACGATTGACCATGCAAGCTGGTAAACAGCGAGTATGGTGAGGACGATAAGGATCGCAATGATCAGGCTGAGGTCGGTCTCGTAGTTGGAGCCGTTCATCAACAAGATTTCACAATCATCAGAGGTGCTCGTCAATATTAACAACAAAATTGTTAATATAGAGGCGAGCTGGAGGGCGAGGATGAAGGGTTTCGTGTTTTTAATGGTGACGTAGAAATCCGACCCAGAGCAACAGGAGTAATCCTGCAAACACTGGAGATGGGATGTATACGCAAGCGAGAAATACTCGGAGGATGGTTACTATGACCAGTCCGAGTGGGTTGTTAAGAAGGAATCGCAGCACGGAGAGTGCGACGACGATCAAGAGAATGATTGGGAGTATGTTGGGCAACGGTAAGTCGTTGGGCAACGAAAGACGAGCTTCGGCTAAATGTTAGCCACTAACTCTAATCGACTTAGATCGTACTAGGATCGCTACTCGCACTTCGGTAGACGATGCTCTAGCAAGTCAAAGGCGACAAAAGTCGATGGGACAGATAGTCTTGAAGAACGGAGTTCGATGTTAGGTAGATTAAACCTTAGCCGAAGCTGGGGTTTAGGCCAGCTGAGGCTCTACTTAAATACACGTTGAGTAGACTAAAAATAGTACTGTGGGAACATCCGATAGGAATCGCATCATAGAGTAAGCGTGAACACGTAAGGAAAAAGGAAAGAAAAAGAATAAACCATAACATCTGTATGGAAATGAAACATGATAGTATTCCACCTCTTATGCTCTTGTCCGAATCCAATCCTCTTGACAAGGAAACCCATATAATCGACCACCTCTTCATCCGCCTTGGGAGGCACTCATTTCCTTTTCCCCATCCAGCCTCCCTCGTTTGCTTTTACCTGCTGACAACCTTCATCCTGTTTGGTTCGCCCTTATTTTTCAGGTGATATGCCCAATCACGAGATATTTATGCTTTATTTATTATTTTCCCCCATGCACACAGTCGTTTGACCCTGACCTACACCCAGAACTTCTAATTCCTCTCTGTCTGAGTGTATCTCATGCATCCCGTTGATGTCGTCTACTGTTCATATCCAATCAACACTGCCAGGAAAAGGACAGTGTGCAAGCTGTACGTGATATCCTTATAGTATGGTGGCAAGGGGCAATGCAATCAATCATTGCAAAGTTCAACAAGCAAGATGGCATGAGGAAAGCGTTTGGGATGAGGATGATGAATTTGATTAACCTTCAAAAGGATGTTCGCCTCACAAGTGATGATCCTAATGAAAAATGGGTGGAACCAGTCCAGAAAGGCACCACCTGAGTGATGTTTGCCCCATGGAGTGCTTTGGTAGTCATAGTCGGGCCACGTTCCGAACCGTGTCGTACCAACCCACTGGCATCTGGGATAAATTCCCCTTCCCCTTCCTACCTGCGTATTCCAAGTCTGTACACCGGAAAATTGTGTACTGAAGTTCTCTCCACCTGGATTATCGACCTTCTTTCTTCCTGACCTAGCACAATGCTCTCAAGGATGTCGCTGCTTCCAGCAGGCATTGCTCCCCGACCTTCAGGAAGAGCACCACCGTCAAGACCAAGTAACCTCCCAACCCGTCCTGCAGCAAGATCCTGTGACTGCGACCACAAAGGTTGTCATATCCCTGCGGCAGAATCCGTCACTAAGCCTCAGTTTGCCCAACTCACCAAGGACTTGGATGAGATGGAAACGGATAACATCCATCTTCAACTAGTCAGGGCTTTCTTACACTTCCAGCAACTTTCTCACGTTGTCTGTTATCAGGAAACTCAGACCCTTATCAGGGAAAGGTTTGACCTCCAAGTCAAACTCAAGGATACAGCAACAGTATGTAATTGGTCGTTCAAAGTGTGCAATCTGACGTTCACTTTGTCAAGAGTTTGAAGAAAATGATGGACAAGAAGGATGAAGTGACTAGGCAGCTTTCAGGCTCCCTTTTTATTCAAGAAAAGCTCCTGACGGTGAGCAGTTGTATAGCTTCTGGCTTCCACACACCGAGATCTGTCTATAGGAAGGAGCGGGCCTCAAAACTAGGCTGGAAGATGCAATTACTGAGCACCAAAGCATGCTGGAGAATATGGAAATCTTCAAGCAGAACGAGTTGGAATGTTGTTTGTGCTTTGAAACCCTGATCGTGCCTATGATGTAAGCCTTGTCCTAACTCCTATACTGCTCAACGAATTCTTTGCAGATTGATATGCGGCCACTGCTTTTGTGGCTCTTGCATGGCGAACTTTTTTAAATCAACCCGCAGACCTTTCCTTTGCCTGCTTTGTAGAAATCGCATTCACACTCCTCCCATCCTTAGCGGTTTCCTTTGGAAAGTCATCAATGTGTTCCATGCCGTCGATGGCATGATTGGCCCTGACACCCATTTAAGTGGTATGCAGAGAGAAGTGAATAGTTATTTTGTTTAGGCAGGAATGATAATACATGAACCTTTTGTGCACTCCATTCGGGACATTGCTCCATAGCCTCGGGCCGAGGTGCCATCTACCTCATCTTCAATGAAGTGGCAACCAATGAACCCCGAACATACAGAGGTGTCTGATGATGAGCCTAAACTTCCGTGGCAACGGCAAAAACCAAAACTCTAGAGGAGTTCACGGCAAATGGCACGTAGCGGCAATAAAGGCTTTGTTGTTATGCGAGTGTTTCGGTGCACCTCCGTGCGATGAATTCCTCAAGAACGCAAGTATACACTGCGACTTTTCAGTCAGCGAAGTAGTACCCTTAACGATCGAGTACTAGAAAACGTTGGCTGTAAGCCGGAAGGGGTCTCGATAGACGAGAAGGAACGGAATCCGGTATAACTGGGAATACCGGCAAACCGTGAACGAAGTGACGGCAATTTAACTAGTAAAAGCCATGGGCGATGTTGACAGAATTAGAGAAAATGCCGTCAAAGAGAAATACCGTTGGCAAGATAACAAATACCGTGACGGCAAGAGACGAAGACTGTAGTCGAGAAACGAGAAACTGGCAGTAAAACGAAGATAAGACTGGCTGGCGATGATATGAGGGGGAACTAGTGACGGCAAAATGATGGCTGGGACTGGGCTGGACTGAAACTGAAACTATACTGAGGTTAACGACGGCAAAATGAAACTGATACTAATCCTGAGTCTACACGGAGACTATCCTATACTGAAACTGACGGCAAGATACCAAATACCGTGACTGATGATCCTATACTGAAGCTGTCGACCGAAATTCCGTGACAGATGCTGCTGGTGGCAATAATGATCCTAATCTGAGTCCACACGGGGACGTAACGATCCTGAACTGAACTGGGTAAAACGATGGCGACGTAGAAGGTGAAAACTGATGAAAACGATCCTGGCTGGTGAAAGTGAAGCGATGCTGGCAGATTTAAAAGATAAAAGCGAGTTGTGGACACCAAATTCCGTGTATTGGCGCAATATGAGCGTACACCAATACCGTTAGAAGAAAAGCCGTGACAGAGAGTATAACTTGGAGTGACTATGTTGTTATTGTCTATCTCCTAGCGAGTACAAGCAATAACGGTGGTCGATAACGTGGATGATGGCTAGTGTCCAGTAACTTCTGTCTAGCAACTACTACTACACTAGCTTTTATACTACAAGTCCGGAATAAAATTAGAATACTTGAAACGAGTCCTTAGTAAGTCCTTAGTACATCGATTGGTAAGAAATGATACAAAACGCGTGCTCCCAGAGTTCTAAAGTAACAGCACCCACACGGTTTTACCGCGTATAGACTTAGTGATCAGAAAGAATTCCCCCGACATACGGACTCTTGGGCTGCTGTGTTGCTGCGGCAAAGTACACTGAAGGTAGTACACTGAAGTAGATGCGTGTGGCATTATCTTGGCGTTGTAACAGCCTTAGTAAAGCTGGTGGAAAGGTCACGGTATCAAGTCTTTTGCCGTGGAATAGGTATTTTGGCTGCGGCATTCTATTAAGTGATGCTTGATGCTGATGTCAGTGATGGCTGTGCTGGGCGATCAATGATGGTCCTAAATCCGTGAGATCTGCAATCAGGTGCCTGGCGGCATTAATGAAGTGGCACATATTGATATGGAATACGAGCTGGGAAGGATAGTTGGCGGTAAGAGTGGGTATTGCCGTGATTGCAATCGTTGACTTAGTGAAAGTCCGCTAAGTGGACAAGGCATTTATTATAATGCTAAAATCCGCGAATTCTGAGCGTACAGAGCCTTGAGGCTCATCACCGATTAGGAAACCGGCCCCCACACACCTTTACCAGAGATATTCTGGCCTGTGAGAGCCTCCACAGACATACAAAATCGTTAACAAGTATCTGTCAACCCGATCGAACACTTGAGCAAGTGACAAAGCACCCTGCCATCGTGATGACAACAAACTCTTCACTGCATGGCGACAAGGCACATTCTCTGGTCGGAGGAAGAGGTGGCCCAATAAGAGTGGTAGATCCCGAACAGGTTCAAGAGGTCTGCAAGCAAATTTAAAGGCGACCAAAGTGACAAAGGCAAGTCAATAATCATCACTGTGACGAGTCCCCAAGGGCTGATTCTTTCCTTTTTTTGGTTAAAGATCAAAATGCACTACAATATAACAACTGCCGACTTTCTCATGTTTTCTCATTTCCGCCCCATAGTACTATCATCATTCCATTACAGAAATTTGTTGTCTCAGTATATCCAACACATATAGTATCATATGGAAATACAGTAAAAAGACAAAGCAGAACCACATCACAGAGGCTTACTTTGATAATATGCAGAGCGGGGCTACGAAACAGGCGGAAGTCGACACAGGGTGTCCGTAGATCGAAAAAAGGGCAAATAAGACAGGGATCGCAGTAAAGGGATAGTGATAGGAGAAAAGAAGTATGCGGCACACTTTATAAGCAAGCAATTAACAGTTTTCCAATCGCCAGCTTTGGATGGTCAATTACGCAGCGAGACTCCTCGAAGACTCCTTCTGGCGCAGTGAGCAGTAACCCCTTACCCCAGCTTGCAGACTTTGACAATTCGCTGGAATTTTGTTACGATTTATTCATTTTTCTTCGTCTTACTCAGCTTGATTACCCATATGCGATCCCTACGGATCATTTCTCACAGTACTATTATTAGCGTATCCACTTGTATTTAAGTAGAGCCTCAGCTGGCCTGAACCCCAGCTTCGGCTAAGGTTTAATCTACCCAACTCGAAACTCCGTTCTTCGTGACTACGTGCCCGCAATCTGCTTTGACCTCGCCTTTGACCAGCTAGAGTTTCATCCACCGAAGTGCGAGTGGTGATCCTAGCCTGATCTAAGTCAATTATTAGTTGGTTGTCAACATTTAGCCGAAGCTCGACATATGTTGCCCAGCATCACGCTGCCCAACATTCATCTCCTAATCCTCCTACTTGTGGTAGCCGATTGGCTCCTACCACTGTTGTTACCAGACCCCATCCTCACCATCATCCTTATAGTCCTTGTGACTATCGTGGTGATTCAAGCGACCATCTCCGCACCTCTACTGGCAGCCTTGCTCGTAGTGGCCTACGTTGGTCTCCTTAGAATCTGAACCCCTCCCAGACATCCCTTCAGCTTGCCTCATTGCTAGCAGTGATACTGCTCGCCTTGACAAGCACCCTCGAAATAGATGATTCTTCGTTGATGACCGGCTCCAACTATGAAACTGACCTCAATCTGATAATCGCCACCCTCGCCGCCATCGTCGTCCTTGCCCTAACTGTCATATGGTCCATTATAGTCGCCAGATTCAGCAGAAGATAAGTCCATGAACGGATGCCCTGGTCCAATGCCATTCCCGCCGTCTTCGCGACTTTTATACTCTTTTTCTTGTCCATTATTTTGTACCGACTACACCACTGTTTCCAACAGCAGAGGAGAGTTCACGCACAACTCCCATTTCATTACGTTCCCAGCCAACCCGCCTACCCACCACCGGTAATACACATTCCCGTGGCATCCCAGCAGACTCTACAAGATGTCGAATCCAACGTCTCCAGGGGACCTGGAGAATCCCTCTATGGATCGTCGCGATCCAGCTCGCGATACTCAGGGTCGAGCACTGACTCCTACAGAAGCGCTACTGCTGAGTCTGCCGACTCAGTCGATATCACCGATACCTGGGGCGTACTCCTCGACAGAGGAGACTCGCCCCTACCAGGTCTCTTCGACCAGTCTCCAGTCGAAGGCGAGCCAAGCCCCCACCGAGGCAGAAGACAAGACACCAGGCATCTGGACGAGGGCGAAGAAAGCCCTGATACCAAGTATGAAGGGGACGAGCTCACCGACCTCGAAAGGATCTGACTCGAAGACCTCCTCGGCGACCTCTACCCAAACGAGGAGGAAGATGCAACCTATACCGGAGACAACTGGAGTGGGCGCTCTTCCACAAGGTGGGAGGATGCCGACTGGGGCAGTGAGCGAAGGAGATACGAGTGGAGAAGCCGGGGAGATGACTACAATGAGGATCCCGGAGAGCTTGCCGTTGGGGCCTCCGCCGCAACTACTGCCCGTCCAACTAGAGCAAGGGCCGATGACTCTAATTGGCCGATGAACTGAGGAGCCCCGATCGCCTGGCACCCCAGCACCAGCTGGGTCTATGCCGAGCCCAGGGAAGAAGCTCCTCTGGCCAGAGTCTCGACCCCACGGTGCATCCCTATCCCCAAGCGCACAGAGACCACAACGACCCCTCCTGCTGTCGCCCGGGTTGAACCGATGGATCAGCAGCTCTGGGAGGAGTTCCCAGACTACAGTCCTGAGGAACTTGGAGCAGTTGCCGGTGCCGGAGACGTCACCCCAGTCACCCATTTCACGCTGTCTGTTGTTGGGAGAGCATTCACTGACCCCGTCCCTAGCAACCAGCATCCATGGACGCTCCTTTATCACACGCTCGTCGAGTCGCTCGAACTCCCTCGAAATGCCTGGCTTGCCCCAGAAATCGAGGCCCGAATGGACAGAGCAAGAGAGGCAGACACACGCACTCGACGTGCAGAAATCGCCGCCCTCATCGGACCCAATGGCTTCTATGACCTACCAGTCGAGCCTGACGCCACCCGTGCCAAAATTGAAAACAGACAATGAGCCACTGCGCTCCGATATTCTGGAATGGTCGAACGAGCCGGACTTGACCTCGAAGCCAGAAGAAGAGCCTGGCAGAACTACGAGGCCGAGATCAGTGACCCCGACTCCGATATCGGGCGCTGGCGAAGAAATAAGGAGATCAACCGACTCGCCAGAGAGAGGAAGAAGGCCAAGGATGCCAAGTCGGCCGCCAAACAGCGCCCTCGAGACCCAAGTGATGGGAGTGGTCCGGACAGTTCTAATGAACCCAGCGGCTCCGGTACCCACCATCTTTAATATTCTGCCGTGGCATGGACTCTATGAAATAATGATGGAGGACATGGAGCAGGACTCCCAGTGGCTCCTTACAGAGGCTGGGGAGGACTATCGACATGCCAAATACATGGGGGACGTCTACCTCATGAAAAATATCCTCGAAGTAGAAACGTGGCACCGAGCGGCCCTTGTGTGGAACCAAGTACACCCCGAGGCTATCAAGCCCGG